ACCTGCCAAACTTCGAAGTGCACAGGGTAGACCGACTAAACCGCAAAGGAGGGGGCGTAGTCATCTACCTCAAGAAAGGCTTAACCGTGCGTAGTATCGAAGCACTCGCCCACGAAAGTGAGTCGTGCGAACTTCTACGCTGCAGACTTAAATGCATAGGCCAAGACATTGACCTCATTGCTGTGTACCGCAGTCCTGACTGCAGTGCAGACGACTTCCTAATAGAGAAGCTAGGCTCCTGGACTTCAAAATGTCGAAGTCTCGTAGTCGGTGACTTCAACGCCCCAACAGTTGACTGGTCGAGCCTAACAACTCCATCTTCAGTCAACTCCTTTGACCATAAACTGCTAGAATCTAGTATATCGCTAGCCCTAGTCCAACATATCATTAAGCCCACGCGCTATGACTCACAGCACTCCTCATCAACTCTGGACCTAGTGTTCTCACACGGTGAGGATGTGGATCTCATACAACATCTTCCTCCGTTAGGAAGAAGTGACCATGCTGTGCTCACTTTCAAGTTCACAGCAACGGCAGCAAGGGCCAAAACCCCAGCTCGACCAAACGTTTGGAAAGCTGACATAAATGCGATCGTCTCAGCAGCCAACTCAGTAAACTGGTACATCAATCCAGAGTCCCAAGTAGAAGCCGCATGGAACCAATTTAAGCAACTTTACGCCCAAGTAACTGTACCCTTCATCCCTTGGTCTGTTCCAAAGGGTCGGAAACATTCCCCCCCTTGGATAAACCGGGAGATTCGTAAGTTACTCAGACGTAAACGCAAATGTTGGAACCTGTTTGCAACACTTGAGACTTCTGAGACCAGGGAATTATATACTACTGCTAGAAATAAAGCTATCGCAGAAATCCGCCAATCAAGGATGAAGTTCGAGACACACCTGGCCCAAAATGCAAAGGCACAACCTAAGAAAATTTTCTCGTACTTGAATTTCAGGAATAAAACACCCAATGGTGTCCCAAACCTGATTATTGACAAAGATACAATCGAAGAAGATCAAGAAAAAGCAGAAGCAATGGCAAACTACTTCTCCCAAGTCTTCACTCAGGAGTCATCACTGCCTATAGGATCAGCTCTGGCTGCATCAGAAGAACATGGGATAGATTCCGTTGACATCGACCAAGGCATCGTGCTCAACTTCTTAATGAAACTAGATGCAGGAAAATCAATGGGTCCTGACAGTCTTCATCCAAGGCTTCTCAAGGAGCTATCAGCCCACATAGCCGGCCCCTTGACCACGATCTTCAAGCTATCTCTCCAAAATGGAGTGTTGCCACGTGATTGGAAAGACGCCATAGTAACCCCCATACACAAAGGAGGATCAAGACAAAGCCCTTCAAATTACAGGCCTATCAGTCTCACCAGCACTTTAATCAAGACACTGGAAAGAATTATCAAGAAAAGCATCATGGCTTATCTGGAAAATAGCAGCTTGTTATCTGGAGCACAGCATGGCTTCCGGAGGAACCTCTCATGCCTGTCAAATCTCCTGACTGCAAGAGAAAGCTGGGTTAAATCAAAGGATGACAGAAGACCCGTTGACGTCGTCTTCATAGACTTCAGTAAAGCCTTTGATAAAGTACCTCACAAAAGACTACTCATGAAATTGGAAAGTCTTGGTATCAAAGGCAGACTACTAGACTGGCTCAGGGAATTCCTCATAGATAGGAGGCAGAGGGTTAGGATCAACTCAAAACTCTCCTCCTGGACAGCAGTAAGTAGCGGAGTGCCACAAGGCACGGTTCTCGGTCCTCTCCTTTTTATTCTGTATATCAATGAGTTACCTCTGCTCACCGACTCCCCTATGGTCCTATACGCAGATGACTTAAAAATTTGGAGGGAGCTGAAGGGCAACAGTGATACGTCCACCTTGCAAGACGACCTCAACAAACTGTCGGAGTGGTCTGTTGAATGGATGCTCCCGATCAACGTGGCAAAATGTGCAACCATGCGCATTGGACAAGCAAGCACGAGCTCCTACGAACTAGAGGGAATAACACTTCCATCAGTTCAGACTCACTTGGACTTAGGTGTCATAGTTAGCCACGACTTAAAAACTACAGCACACTGTCGCGCGGTGGCTGCACGTAGTTTCAGGTCCTTATGGGCGATTCGCAGAGCCTTTACAAGAATTACCAGAGATATGTTCACCTCCTTATACACATCTCTGGTTAGGTCAAGACTGGAAAACTGCATCCAGGCCGCCAGTCCGTGTCTAAAAGGGGATTCACACATTCTAGAAAGTGTTCAAAGGAAGGCAACACGTATGGTTCACGGCATAGCTAACTTATCATATGAGGAAAGACTAGATAGTTTAAATCTCTTCTCACTGTCATACCGTAGGCAGAGAGGAGATTTAATCACAATGTTTAAAATTTTAAATAATGACTACGGACCTGACCTATTCTCTCTTTTCCTTCCCACCAGGTCGGAACACCTTAGAGGACATAGCAGGAGAGTTCAAAAGCCAAGGAGAAATCATATTGCTGTTGAGTACTGGTTCTCACATCGAGTCATAAACTCTTGGAACCGACTCCCAGAAGAAGTGGTGTCTGCAACCTCAACTGATTCGTTCAAGAAGGGTTTGGACAACCACAGAAATCTACTAGAAAAGGATTAACATAGGCTGCAAGCCTTCTATCCTCAACCAATAAATCTGAATCTGAAATCTAGTAGAGCGTAAAATTGTATATTATAGCTCGGACGAATTATCAATGAAGAAGTCATCCTTTTTAAGAAAGTTCGCATAGAAAGACTATTATTTGCATTATAGTGCGTTGAGGGTTTGTTTTTTTGCGAGTTGTTTCAGATCTTAAGGTTGTAAATATACTGCAGTCAATGGCTGTTGTCATTCCAGTTAATCTATTAGAATCTGGCCTATGAAAGATAAATAGCATGCAGGCATAGGTTAGATGTGTGTTTTGAACATGTTAAACTTTTCTGTTATCATCCGGGATGACTGAAATATTCCATAACACATTGACGACATTATGCGATGAATGAGACAGGCTGCTGAATTTCCTGTTGATTATATCTATTTTGATGAAGTTCCTAGTTAAAAGTGCTTGGGCGAAGATGTAAAAATAGTTTAATTGACATTTACACATGAAATTTCACAAGGCCTCCATTGCTCAGTGCATGAAATGGCATCAGAGTATATTGACATCAGTGTTCATTGTGTCTGGAAGAATAGTATAAATAGTCCTTCTCAAATGTCAGAGTACTTAAAATTAGTACCAGATTTCTGTCGATTAGTAGCTAGCGGCTGTGTCGTACAACTACTACACCTGTTACATAGGTTATATCAATCTTAAAAATTATTTTGCTTCACATCACTAAGATAATCTGAAATCCTTAATGACTTAATTGTGGCTATGAAATATGTAGAAGATGCACTTATGGCTGATATATTTAAAGCAGTTATTATTAAACAAGTTATCTGTAAGCAACTTGTGATGTTCTGAATACTGCAAACTGTTGATAAGAAACTGCATCAAAGGAAAAAATGCTGAACAGCTAGAAAATGCTACTGCAGTTTCGTTGGTTGTTACCTTTTGCATTTGTAAGTCATCCTTTCAAAGCTGCGATTGACGCCAAACCATCCATGGCACCCCACAGGCTCTATAGAAATTTGTGAGAGATCTTACATGTCAGGTTGTCTTCCAAATTGTAAGGTTGCAGATAGTTCAATTTACCTCTAACTGAAATATCACTTATCTACTTCACTATGGTCTTTTCATTTGTGCACTATTACACTTCATTTTATGTTAACTGGATATGCCTTTATTAAAGCTGAGACTTACTCTTTGTGCCTATTAGTTGCTTGCTTACAGTCTATAAAAAAAAAAAAAAAAAAAAAAAAAAAAAAAAAAAAAAAAAAAAAAAAATTTCATGGAAAACGTCATATTTTCTATGTTTACACCAATATGATTGGCATTAAACATTGCAAATGTATACTCACATTCCAAGGACATAGTACTTAACCAAATGTACGGTGTTCATTGTTAAGGGTTCACAATTTAACTCTTATAATTTATGATACTTCAAGATTGCAGTTTATAACATAACTTATTGCGCCTGTAGAAATGACATGCATTCTTTGTAAACATTGGTTTATACGAAATTTGAAATTATTACTATATGCTTGCTGCTATCCTTTAGAAGAGGAATAATGTGTGTGGCAGTGAAAACCCCAGAAGAATGATGTCATTACCAAAGAATGAGAAAGGAGAATAAACCATTTTCAGCAAAGGTAGGCAGATATAAATCGTTTACCTTTAATATTACTTCTTCCTTACTTCAGCTATTTAAAAAACACTTTGTTTACTTATTTGTAGATATCTGGTAACGTCAATCACCCCAGTCACAGAGATTCGACATTGCACAAATTATTCCGACAATCGACTGCGTCAAGACATTTGCTTGTTATTATTTTTTCATTAAATACATTTAATATCCTGCTTACCAGACCTTTCTTATTATATCTGAGTGTAGGTATATTTGTCATGATGACTAGGTGCAGACATGACTTATTAATAAGAACTGACGAAGTAATTGGTGGCATATTTTAGTGTAAGCTAAATCTAAATACGATTGTTAAAGCTCAACGAATTCAATAATTCGTCTGGTGTAGACTTTAATTTACGCTACATGTCAACAGCCTTAGTCATATGGATTGACATCACGCTTTAAGTGAAACATTAGTAATGCAATACTTTCGAATACACGTAACCGTATAAGAACTGGGACTCGAATGCAGTGCCTAAGTTATGCCTACTATTGTCCCTAAAGACTTGTATATGACTATGATACGTATGCACGTTAGCTAACTGAAATACTTATAATTTAACACGTATGCTGACCGACATCGTTCCTACACAATTACACTTACGTATTGTTAGTAGTGAAAGTCCTAGAGAGCACCGGTCTAGCATGCCGTGCTCACAAAGTGAACACATGAATTGAAAGACAACAAAATTTACATGAAAATTTTATTTTCATTATGATACAAATTTAGTTTATTTACATATTAAGAACACGATTGATTCCTGCGATTACTCCGTCTGCATAAGTATTGGCAAACACTTCTCCAAATTTGTCATTAATTCTGTCCATACCCGCAATGATAATCTTCTTTTTGGTATCGTATATATCATTTCGATTTCGAGGGATAACTGCTGACGTACTTTGAGATGCGAACAAGTTGCGTGACCACGTCCATTGTTTACAATTATGCATCACATGGTTAACTACAAAAGGTGGAACAAAAAAAGTTAAGATAACTATGAACTGATTATTACATTACATTATACATTAAAAACGTAGTCATAAAAACGCAAATATACCTGTGAAATACGGCTTTCTGAAGTGGACCAAAAGCAAGTGTCGGCAGGGGTACCGACAGGTCTGAAATGTAAAGCACGTGCAGGTGCAAGCACTCAGATCAACCTGCACTGTATTCCCATTTTCTTTGAAGAATACATAATCAAAGGATTCGAACTCAACAATAGCCCATCGTCGCCATTGGTATTCACGTATTACCTTCCTCGCGGCGTATGGCGTCAGCAACCGTATAATTGGGATTAAACGTTGTGAACAGGGATACGTGAAGCATCGTGATTGAGCAATATTCGCCTCCTGCTGTATTATTGAAAAACTTCGTTTATGCCATTTATACACCTTTAGCATACTTTTATGCAGACTATCAGATCTTTGCAAAAACCGTTTCATCTGCTTGTGGGAACTCTCGACACGATTATTTGTATCGTTCCCAAAAGTCAGCACGTTATCTCTGAAACAGGCTGCCCACAATTCTCGTCGATGCATCCAACGACGTTGTAGATATTGACTGACATTAGCATCCAATCTGCTAATAACTCTGAAGTAGAAATTAAATCTGCAAAATGAGAACAATAGAGGCATTACTCTGATCTCCTTTTACACTGCACTAGACGGCATAAATAATTCTTCACAATGGGATTTCTTGTCTACGAATAAAATGTAAAGTATGCTTCGAAAAACTTACTTTCCGACAGAAAGCTCGGCAAACATGGAAAGAACACAAAACAATGTGCGCTTGTCTGTGCGTTAACTTGACGGCTGCTATTTCAGCTTGCGCACAATCCATAATGAAGGATTCTGTTTTGGAGGTGTCTTCCATTATTTGCCGGAAACAGTCTAATATCCAAACTACATCTCGTTTGAATTCTTTTCTAGTCCACGCAAATAAAACTGGTCGTCCACGACCAAAATTATCCGTCACAAGTAGCTGGAACAAAGAATACCTGCACGTTGACTAATGAATTGGTAAACTTACTTCCCCTTATTCGTATTATACGTCGAGTCGATACCAACAACTTCAGGGAACTGTTTATACAATTCCATTTGCTCATAAGTTGCAAAACAAATTCTTGTTAGTGAATTCCTGATCGGTTCATCGGAATAATACTCCATTAACTTCCCACGGGATTTTAGGAATTCAAAAATGTCACGACGACTCGAAATACCTTAAGTATGTAACAAGTACGTCAACGTTACCTTTATTCACTGCGGCTTTCATATTTTTAACGTCAATGCGAGTTATATCCTTGTTGTACTTCTCCTTAACATGCATTATTATTTCATCGGATGAGTGGGATTGCTGAAGAAGTGGTTCAATATTTTCTTTCTCTTCAACTGTTAGTCGTCTATACCATGGGTCATTCTGCATGTACACCCTGCTGCATGGATGGTTATGCACCATATTGTGGGAAGCAATTATGTATTCACTATAATGCAAAACCACGCGAAATGAAGACGAGCAATTGCAACATTTAGACCTGCAATATTCATGAAATCATATTACACTTCTTCTTACGACTTGTTTTTCAATTTCAATCCAGGTCTTGTACGATTCACTCCAAAAGTGCATTTAAAACCAACATAAGCGTACTTAAACCTGGCATCCGGTATCGTTTTGCTGCAATTATGAACATAGTGAGTGTAGGATAACTACACTGTTAGCATTAAATGACTTCCTCACTTTTTGAAATTCTGCTAATGACTTCTCAAATTCATCCCAGCTGAAGAAACGCTTTCCAAGTATGTATTCAGCAAAAATTCCACTTAAATCTGTGCTCCTGTCACTCGAATTGACTACCTGCAACGGACTAAAATAAAATTATCAATTAGGATCCATCTATGTCACAACTATTCCAAGATAAATCGTAAAAAAACAACATTGAAATACAGGGATGATCGATAACCATCAAGAAAATACCGCACGTATAACCTAAATTACAGAAAAACACAAGAACCCACCGGTTCGTTGACATCGCAAGCAACCAATAGACCAAACAACGAATTGTACGACAAATAATGCCTAGTACATGCACAAACAAAGAAAAACAAAGCGTTACAATAGTTTAATACACGTTTACAGTAATCACATATGCTGGCAAACGACGCAAACACAACCACGCAAATACAGCACCCGACAGCACGCACCCAAGGACAATTCAAACTCCAATTGACCGCCACTGTTCTAGCCAATGAAAGACGAAAAAAATTTGTCGCGGAAAATATAACACGAAACCACGTATATACTCACCCTTCATCCCGTGGTTGTAGGCATACGATAACCAGCCAATATTGAGGTAAGTACAACGTTTACAAGGGATTGGAAGCTGTTTTAGAAAAGTAAAAGTGCTAAGGTGAAACATTAAAGTGTAATAGATTAAGTTAGTGAAATATATCATTAATAAACACATATATAGAAAACAGAATGGGGAAGTAATTAATCCTTAGGCCGACAACGTTCATTTGCAATGTATAATAAAACCAATATATTTTGTACTATCATGATGTCCATTTTTGGCTTTAATACAATTTTTTCAGGCCAGTTGTTTTTATTTCATGCCTTTTTGTCTATTTGGTGCACAACCGTACCCTCTAGAGAATAGGAATAGAATAACTCGAATGAAATTCATAAAAAGCTATAAAATGTTAGGTTTAATGGAATATAATGAGGATCAAGTAAAGACGTTATTAGAAAATAAGTGAAATAAGACATTGTGAAGTGGTATTTAAAGATCTGACAATGGATAGCAAGTTAATTTATAAGATGCCCCATAAATCTGTGCAGATCCCGCGTGGTCGCATCTCAACAATAGGCTGAGCGAATGGTATATATTTAAAGGTAGAAGCATGATCTGTCAAGGCGTTCATTATTATCTTTTTCAAGATAAAGATCTAAGCCCTCATAAAAATCAGAAATATCTCGAGCCTTTAAATTGTATATTGCTGTTCCTGCAGAATGGGGTGATTCACCTTAGTGACCACCACCATATCTACTGATCAGCTAGCGCCACCCTACCTCCTTTTTTTTAAATGCTAACATTGTATTCCAAAAATTTTTTCTTAAACTAGACAAAATGCCCAAATGCGTGTATGTGTAAGACAAAATGCAAAATCAGAAGGGTGTACATAATAACTTTGAATAGCAAAAATGGTGACAGCAGAAAGAGAGAGAGAAAGAAAGACGGGGGTGGAAAAATAAACAAAACGGTTATGAAAAATATCTTTAAAAAGGCCTATGTCTAGTGAATGTCAATCGCAGCAGATCATGTTCCTGCTTCATTTGTACTAAGAGTTTATTCATTTGATCAAGTTTACATTCAAGTTGAGCAAATTTGTAAAGTAATTCATTATGAGACCAGTTTAATTCAGACATCATAGATGATAAGCGACTATCAAGATGCTTACTTAATGCTTCAATTGGTATATGTGGTGAATGCGCAGTTGTTTGTCCAGTTTCTTCTAGTTTCTCTGTATCAACGGTACTAGAATGACGACTAGACGTATCTATCGGCATCGGCGGCAAACTTTTATTATCTTTTAATATTGAATCATACGGATGACTTGTAAGCGATTTCAATGGTGATGATGATGATAACGCTAATGACTTCTGGTTTATGCTATCAACAGTCACTGCTTCAGATGTATCACTGCTTATCAGTAAACTTTGATCTAACAATGATCGACTTGAATTATCAATATTGGTGAGTGATTTTGATTCTGGTTGATCGAATTCATGCAGTATTACTGCCCATCTTGTTTGTGATTTAGACTGTTCTGTTTTTCCCGTTGTTTCTATTGTTGTTGTTGCCATTGTATTACTTAATTCGCTTAAAGCTTGACGAATTTGACTATTATTACATGTTAGATGAGTACTATTCATTGATTCACTGTAAGAATTTTCATCGGTTATTTGAGAAGAAGTTGATAAATTGGATAATGCCGCCTCCTTTGATGCTTATTATTATTATTATTAAAGTCTACATCATTTAGATCAGCTTGTAAAGTGGATGAGAATGAAAGTAGACGAATAGAATTATTCCCTAATCCAATAGAGATACAATGAATTGGTGTAGACATATTCTGTACATTATATAACCATACTTCACCATTCACTAAACCAGTTGCAAGAATATGCCTTCTTGAATCGACATCAATACTTAGATAACCGTGTTGTTCATCCACTGGTGATAAACATTCGACAGGTTTTTGTTGTTGTTTCTGTTGACCTGATGTCGACAGTATATCCCATACACGTAGATTTAAATGTGGTAATCCTGCACTATACAATAATTGATCATTATTCGATGAAAATGCAATGCTTATACAATGTTCATAACTTTCTTTTAATATACTGATTTCATTCATACTTGTAGCGAAAGATTTAACATCCCAATAATTTAAAATATAACTGTATCACCAATAACTGGCCATTGTATATTCCATAAGATTATAGAACCATTAGAATAACCACAGCATAAAAGATTACTATTAAATTTAGAAGTTTTTAACACACAACATTCAGGTAGGGAAGTATCACAACCTCTGACCTTTGAATATTGACAAGGGAATGGTAATACAAAGTTTTCACATCGACCATTGGTGCTAATTTTATCCGGAGCTGCTAAGAATAATACAATAGAGCCATTATTATATCCAGCAGCAATAATACGATCATTTAACACCCAACTAATACACTTTGGTTGTAATTCATTAGGTAATATATTAAATGGATGCAGATTAGTATAGCGTAATTGACAAGGTAGTGTTATTTGCTTATTTCCACAATTATAAACATTTATCAAACCAGTATTAATGCCAACAGCTAGATATCTGCCCGAACTTCTAGGGAAACCGATACACGTGGCTGTACAATCTTCAGATTGTAAACTCAACGTCAGTATATCAGAAGTTGTCTTTCCATAGTTATGATTTCTGCCAAACAATAATTGTTGAAGGTAAATAGATCCACCAGATTTATCAATAACAGCTAGCTTAAATGATTGAGGATTCCACTGGATTGATTCAATTGGATTGGTTGATATTGGTTGAGGTTTGTATGTCGACAGATTAGAAGCAGAAAATTCTTGATTACTACTAGTACTAGACTTAATCTTCAGCCACAATATAAGCCCCCTTTCAACGCTAGTAGGTTCTGAGTTTCCAGGGAGCGACGACAAATCAGTGATGTGTGCACTGCCAATTCCGCTGAGTAGCAATGCAGCTCATACCTCCACTTCACAACAAGTAAAATATAGGAACTATGGTAAGGCAAACTGGACCTTAGTAGAATTGATGCTAAGATCCTCCAAATGGGATGAATACTTCACTACTGATGACCTATCGAGAGCCCTAACCATCTTCTACCACAACTCTAACACATGCTTAGATGCTGTCATCCCACTCCAGACACTAAAGGTTTCCCCACACAGAAAGTCATTCATAAAACCAAAAGATCATATGAAACTGAAGTGACTCTCAACAAGTTACTTCAAACTCCACGACTTTGGCACTCTAGGTCTAATACTTAACACCCTTAGCTCCATCTCACAAGCTCGAGATTTCCGTATGAGAAACGAAGAACGCATCGCAGTAGCCAGTCCTACTAGAGTGTATGTACTCACAGAAATCTTAAGGAAGCGAATGAATCGCAAAAATCACAGCATTTCTCTCCTCATAGACAAAGGTAGGCTATGCACTAACTCTGCAGACATATGTGAACTATTCAACAAAACGTTTGCAGGTAACTAACTTAAGCCCTCAGTCCAGCTACTCGATATACACCCTATTACTAATATGGCACAAACTCCATCTCCACTCACACCAAACCAAATTAGCACTGTTGAATTCAAATACACTAATAATAACCAAACTATAAGAACCCTCAAAAGTTCAAAAGGTTTCGGTACCGACGGTATATCATCTTACTTCTATAAATATGGTGGCCCTGACATTCCTCTACTGCTGCTTAAAATATTCACAATGTCCCTTGAAACCCAAACTTACCCTGACATATGGAAGACAACATTCATTATGCCTAAACACAAATCTGGCTCGAAAACTGAAGTCAGTAACTACCGTCCGATCAATATCACACCTATAGCATCTGGAATCATGGAGAGACTAGTCAAAGATAACTTAATCAAACATATGCTTAGCCGCAATATTATAAGTCCGAACCAACATGGATTCCTTAAATCCAGATCATGTTTAACATGCCACCTAGACTTCTTCAATTTCGTAACCAGCAGTCGTGACAGACGGCAACTAGTACTTGTCATCTACTTTGACATTTCTAAAGGATTTGACCGTGTTGACCATCTGCTGCTAACAAATAAGCTGAACTCCCTAGGAATACGTGACCCATTATTAGGATGGCTTAAATCATTCCTTAACAATAGGTCCCAAGTAGATAAACTCGGGTCTGTAACCTCCAAACCTAGCCCTATCACTTCTGGTGTAGTACAAGGTAGTGTCGTTGAACCCCTCCTATTTACACCATACATCGATGACATATGCGCTTGCTTCTCACACGGGAAACCATTCATCTTTGCAGATGACCTAAAAGTAGCTTATACATTCCAATGTGTTGACTTAGGGTACTTCGAGAATGTAGTGCAGAAGGAATTAGATAAAATGACTGCTTGGTCGTCCTCATGGAATCTCCAATTCAATCTGAACAAATGTGGCTGGATCTGCTTTGGCGCACCCTCAATTGAACTGAAATTAACGCTTCAATGCGCTAACCCAACCAGACTCCGAAGTGTCGTTGACATAGGCCTTAGGTACTCTAGTGACTTGACATTCTCTGAGCAAGTAGCATCATAGACTAGAAAATCGAGGATGCTCTTAGGATGCATACTCAGGAACTTTCACGACAATGAAGCCAAACTAATTCTGTACAAAACATGTGTCAGACCACTACTAGAATACTGTCCATTTATTATAAGCAGCACTCGCACACGGGATAAGCTAAGGATGGAAGGTATCCAACGATATTTTACCTCAAAACTACTTGGCTATGATTGTAGGAAAGACTACATCTCACGGTGCACGATCCTAAAACTTGACCTACTTTGGACAAGGCGACTTATTATAAACCTAATATTCTTCTTTAAGGTCCTTCACAAAATATCATTCTCAGGTAACAGGGACATACAATTCGCACAGGAATGCTCTTACGATCTGCGTAACCAAACTTGCACAGTGACAACCCATTCTTTTAAGTCAACACTCCGTGAAAACGTCTTCACAGTCATGTATTCTAAAATATGGAATAGCCTACCCCTAGGTTGTAACCCGGTTAATTCAAGTCTGGCTTGGTTGGAATAAACGTCTCTTCCTCGCCGTCTTTGTCTTCTTCCTTGTTCAGTTGTGACTGTGGTCTGTGTGTGTTATAGATGCGCCTGGCTACCAGGACTCCTATGTCCGAAAACCTTCGAGGACATAGCAGGAGAGTTCAAAAGCCAAGAGGAAATCATATTGCTGTTGAGTACTGGTTTTCACACCGAGTCATAAACTCTTGGAACCGACTCCCAGAAGAAGTAGTGTCTGCAACCTCAACTGATTCGTTCAAGAGGGGTTTGGACAACCACAGAAATTTACTGGAAAACGATTAACATAGGCTTCAAGCCTTCTATCGTCAACCAATAAATCTGAAATCTGGCTAATGTTACGTGGATTCATTTACAAATGACTTGTCATGTCTTGGTGTAGTACAAGACTCTTCAGTTCAATTTTGGTTTCTACCTCAAGGCAAATCTTCATTCGTAAATTCTTTGCCTACCAGTAGTAATCAAGAATTTTCTGCTTCTAATCTGTCGACATACAAACCTCAACCAATATCAACCAATCCAATTGAATCAATCCAGTGGAATCCTCAATCATTTAAGCTAGCTGTTATTGATAAATCTGGTGGATCTATTTACCTTCAACAATTATTGTTTGGCAGAAATCATAACTATGGAAAGACAACTTCTGATATACTGACGTTGAGTTTACAATCTGAAGATTGTACAGCCACGTGTATCGGTTTCCCTAGAAGTTCGGGCAGATATCTAGCTGTTGGCATTAATACTGGTTTGATAAATGTTTATAATTGTGGAAATAAGCAAATAACACTACCTTGTCAATTACGCTATACTAATCTGCATCCATTTAATATATTACCTAATGAATTACAACCAAAGTGTATTAGTTGGGTGTTAAATGATCGTATTATTGCTGCTGGATATAATAATGGCTCTATTGTATTATTCTTAGCAGCTCCGGATAAAATTAGCACCAATGGTCGATGTGAAAACTTTGTATTACCATTCCCTTGTCAATATTCAAAGGTCAGAGGTTGTGATACTTCCCTACCTGAATGTTGTGTGTTAAAAACTTCTAAATTTAATAGTAATCTTTTATGCTGTGGTTATTCTAATGGTTCTATAATCTTATGGAATATACAATGGCCAGTTATTGGTGATACAGTTATATTTTAAATTATTGGGATGTTAAATCTTTCGCTACAAGTATGAATGAAATCAGTATATTAAAAGAAAGTTATGAACATTGTATAAGCATTGCATTTTCATCGAATAATGATCAATTATTGTATAGTGCAGGATTACCACATTTAAATCTACGTGTATGGGATATACTGTCGACATCAGGTCAACAGAAACAACAACAAAAACCTGTCGAATGTTTATCACCAGTGGATGAACAACACGGTTATCTAAGTATTGATGTCGATTCAAGAAGGCATATTCTTGCAACTGGTTTAGTGAATGGTGAAGTATGGTTATATAATGTACAGAATATGTCTACACCAATTCATTGTATCTCTATTGGATTAGGGAATAATTCTATTCGTCTACTTTCATTCTCATCCACTTTACAAGCTGATCTAAATGATGTAGACTTTAATAATAATAATAATGCATCAAAGGAGGCGGCATTATCCAATTTATCAACTTCTTCTCAAATAACCGATGAAAATTCTTACAGTGAATCAATGAATAGTACTCATCTAACATGTAATAATAGTCAAATTCGTCAAGCTTTAAGCGAATTAAGTAATACAATGGCAACAACAACAATAGAAACAACGGGAAAAACAGAACAGTCTAAATCACAAACAAGATGGGCAGTAATACTGCATGAATTCGATCAACCAGAATCAAAATCACTCACCAATATTGATAATTCAAGTCGATCATTGTTAGATCAAAGTTTACTGATAAGCAGTGATACATCTGAAGCAGTGACTGTTGATAGCATAAACCAGAAGTCATTAGCGTTATCATCATCATCACCATTGAAATCGCTTACAAGTCATCCGTATGATTCAATATTAAAAGATAATAAAAGTTTGCCGCCGATGCCGATAGATACGTCTAGTCGTCATTCTAGTACCGTTGATACAGAGAAACTAGAAGAAACTGTACAAACAACTACGCACCCACCAATTGAAGCATTATGTAAGCATCTTGATAGTCGCTTATCATCTATGATGTCTGAATTAAACTGGTCTCATAATGAATTACTTTACAAATTTGCTCAACTTGAATGTAAACTTGATCAAATGAATAAACTCTTAGTACAAATGAAGCAGGAACATGATCTGCTGCGATTGACATTCACTAGACATAGGCCTTTTTAAAGATATTTTTCATAACCGTTTTGTTTATTTTTCCACCCCCGTCTTTCTTTCTCTCTCTCTTTCTGCTGTCACCATTTTTGCTATTCAAAGTTATTATGTACACCCTTCTGATTTTGCATTTTGTCTTACACATACACGCATTTGGGCATTTTGTCTAGTTTAAGAAAAAATTTTTGGAATACAATGTTAGCATTTAAAAAAAGGAGGTAGGGTGGCGCTAGCTGATCAGTAGATATGGTGGTGGTCACTAAGGTGAATCACCCCATTCTGCAGGAACAGCAATATACAATTTAAAGGCTCGAGATATTTCTGATTTTTATGAGGGCTTAGATCTTTATCTTGAAAAAGATAATAATGAACGCCTTGACAGATCATGCTTCTACCTTTAAATATATACCATTCGCTCAGCCTATTGTTGAGATGCGACCACGCGGGATCTGCACAGATTTATGGGGCATCTTATAAATTAACTTGCTATCCATTGTCAGATCTTTAAATACCACTTCACAATGTCTTATTTCACTTATTTTCTAATAACGTCTTTACTTGATCCTCATTATATTCCATTAAACCTAACATTTTATAGCTTTTTATGAATTTCATTCGAGTTATTCTATTCCTATTCTCTAGAGGGTACGGTTGTGCACCAAATAGACAAAAAGGCATGAAATAAAAACAACTGGCCTGAAAAAATTGTATTAAAGCCAAAAATGGACATCATGATAGTACAAAATATATTGGTTTTATTATACATTGCAAATGAACGTTGTCGGCCTAAGGATTAATTACTTCCCCATTCTGTTTTCTATATATGTGTTTATTAATGATATATTTCACTAACTTAATCTATTACACTTTAATGTTTCACCTTAGCACTTTTACTTTTCTAAAACAGCTTCCAATCCCTTGTAAACGTTGTACTTACCTCAATATTGGCTGGTTATCGTATGCCTACAACCACGGGATGAAAACGAAACGAAGTAGATTTTCCCGCTCAATCTGGAGGACAATTGTACAATTCAATAACTATACGGCCTGGTTCAGACAATGAGTGTAATTATATATATGTATCAAATATTTAACTGTTGAAACATTATTAACTTGTAGACTATTTAAGATTTGACATTATAACATACTTGATCGTGCCTGTAAAAATGGCATGCATTTTCATGTAAATTTATTTTTATATGAAAATAAAATTATTATTAACTTGTAATGAAATGCTGAAACGTGGATAAAAATGGCAAAATGCCAACAAATGATAATCGTATTTTTTCATTTAGTTCTTTCCCAACTGAAAAAAGTGGTCTTACCAAAATTTCTCCTCTTGCCCGAGATAACTCTCACATTCTGTCTCGTTATATCTCATGAGTTAGTTAATTTTATCGTGTAGCCTAACTGCGAAATTTGAAATATCTTTTGCTTATTACCAACTTAATATAATATTTTGATGTGGTTTTGTTCTCTGAGCTGGATGGTTAGTTTGCGAAGCTTTCATCACCTTACTGGGTGACATCTTCAGCGCATACTTCAATTTGAAGTGAGCTTTTAGATTTCTCCACGAGTTTATTAATCATCTCTCCTGGTGACCTTGGACGTGATTGGTTGTTTGTGTGTGTTTTCACACCTTCTAGGTTACTTGTATTGGAACCGGTTGTTTCTTTGACTTGAATTTTGACCCTTTGTGTGTGAAGTTTCTTTCTTATTGGTTGATAAATTTTGTCTATGTCGATGTGTCTATTGATTGATGATCCACTGGAATGCCAAGCTTCTAAAAATTCTCTAGCATTCTTGTTATTTCCTTTGTCTAATATTTGAACGTTGTCCCAGTCGAATTGATGTCCGTAGTTGTCTGTGTGTAGTGAAATGAGGGAGTGGATATCATGTCTTTTGACGGCTAGCTTATGTTCGTGGATACGAAGACGAAGGGGACGTCCACTTTGGCCGATGTAGTGTTTTTCGCAGTTGTTACAGTTTATTTTGTAGATGATGTTGGTTTTATCTTCTTTCGCTGTTGAGTCTTTTGGTTGACATAGAATTGAGTGAAGCGACTTTGTTGGTTTGTGTACGACGTCAACTCCTAAAGGTTTGAAGAGTCTTGTAGTGATTTCTGAGATATCTTTTATATATGGTAAGGCAATTTTCTTTGTGTTCTCCTTGGTGGCTTTTGCTTTGGTAGGTTGGCTTGGGGGTATATGTCTCTTGATGAAATTCCGTGGATATCCATTCTTTTGGAAGACGTCCATGAGATACTTTTCTTCAATTTTTCTTAAGGTGGGAGTGCTGCAGTGAGTCCTTGCCCTCTTGAATAGTGTTTGTATGCAATTCCTTTTGTGTGTTATTGGGTTGTTGCTGTTGTAATTCAGTATTTGGTCTGTGTGAGTTGATTTCCTATAAACTTGAGTTTCTAATTCTCCTGTAGTTGTTCGCCTGACTAAGACGTCCAAAAATGGTATTTTGTTCTCGGATTCCTCTTCTCTTGTGAATTTGATGTCGTTGAAGACGTTGTTTATTAAGTTGTGAGTTTTATCTAATTCGTTTCTTTTGATTATTACAAATGTGTCGTCGACGTAGCGTATCCAAATCTTGGGTTTGATCTTTGGTAGAATTATATTTTCGAGTCTTTGCATCACTGCTTCTGCAATCAAACCTGATATTGGCGATCCCATGGGTGTTCCTTTGACTTGTTCATATATTTGGCCGTTGAATTGGAAGTATGTTGTTAGGCATAGATTTATGCATTCCATCCAGCTTGTGTGTTGCATTTTTGATTGTTGTGGCAGTTGTTCGTCGTTGCTAAGTAGTTGCTCCATGGTTTCTTTTGCTAGGTTTTGTCCGATGGATGTATATAATGCTGTCACGTCGAATGATACCATTATTTCTTGTTCATCTATTTGGATGCCTCTGATTTTCTCTAGGAATTGGATAGCAGAGTTGATGGAGTGATCGCAAGATTCCGTTAGGTGTTTTAGTTTTCTGTATAATTCTTTGGATAAATTATATGTTGGAGTTCCTGGGAGTGATACAATTGGTCGTAATGGGATATTTGCCTTGTGTATTTTGGGTCTGCCGTAGAATCGGGGTAGGACTGGTCCATTGGATTTCATTCGCCATTGGTCTTGTTTTGTGATCTGTCCAGTTTTGGTGAGCTTGTTTAAGGTCCTTTGGATGCGGTTATCCAATGTTTGTATGGGATTTGTTGGGAGTTGTTGATATACATCTTCATCTTTGAGTAGTTCTTCTGCTTTCTTGGTATATTCTTCTCTGTCCATGACTACTGTTGTTCTTCCTTTGTCGGCTGGTAAAATGACGATGTCCTTCCTATTTTTCAGCTTTTTGAGGGCCTTTAGTTCTTGAGCGTTGAGTTGTGTGTGTTGTCTTTTCTGTTTGACCATTGGTACAATTGTTTGGCGTATCTCTTCCTGTGTTTCCTCGTTCAAGTTTGATGATTTGAGTAATGATTCAAAGGCAGCGAAGAAATCAGTTTTTGAAGCATCTCCGGTGTTGTAGTTTAATCCTTTTTGTAGTAGTTGTTGTTCCATTTTTGATAGTGGTTGTTTTGATAGGTTGACTACGCAGTCTATGGGCGTATTGTCTGGTTGTTGTTTTCTAATCTTGGCTAGCTTGGTTTTGAGGACTCTTCGTCTTTGTTCTCTGTGTTTTTCACTTGACAGTGTAATTGCGGTGATCAGCGTTGACAGGTGTTCCTGGTTGAGGGTTTTCTCTAATTTTGCTTTTTGGATATCTATAATTTGTTGATATTTGTTGATCCGATAATGTGCATCTGTAATCATTTGTAATCATAAAAAGAAACGAATTAGATAAAACTCACAACTTAATAAACAACGTCTTCAACTACATCAAATTCACAAGAGAAGAGGAATCCGAGAACAAAATACCATTTTTGGACGTCTTGGTCAGGCGAACAACTACAGGAGAATTAGAAACTCAAGTTTATAGGAAATCAACTCACACAGACCAAATACTGAATTACAACAGCAACAACCCAATAACACACAAAAGGAATTGCATACAAACACTATTCAAGAGGGCAAGGACTCACTGCAGCACTCCCACCTTAAGAAAAATTGAAGAAAAATATCTCATGGACGTCTTCCAAAAGAATGGATATCCACGGAATTTCATCAAGAGACATATACCCCCAAGCCAACCTACCAAAGCAAAAGTCACCAAGGAGAACACAAAGAAAATTGCCTTACCATATATAAAAGATATCTCAGAAATCACTACAAGACTCTTCAAACCTTTAGGAGTTGACGTCGTACACAAACCAACAAAGTCGCTTCACTCAATTCTATATCAACCAAAAGACTCAACAGCGAAAGAAGATAAAACCAACATCATCTACAAAATAAACTGTAACAACTGCGAAAAACACTACATCGGCCAGAGTGGACGTCCCCTTCGTCTTCGTATCCACGAACATAAGCTAGCCGTCAAAAGACATGATATACACTCCCTCATTTCACTACACACAGACAACTACGGACATCAATTCGACTGGGACAACGTTCAAATATTAGACAAAGGAAATAACAAGAATGCTAGAGAATTTTTAGAAGCTTGGCATTCCAGTGGATCATCAATCAATAGACACATCGACATAGACAAAATTTATCAACCAATAAGAAAGAAACTTCACACACAAAGGGTCAAAATTCAAGTCAAAGAAACAACCGGTTCCAATACAAGTAACCTAGAAGGTGTGGAAACACACACAAACAACCAATCACGTCCAAGGTCACCAGGAGAGATGATTAATAAACTCGTGGAGAAATCTAAAAGCTCACTTCAAATTGAAGTATGCGCTGAAGATGTCACCCAGTAAGGCGATGAAAGCTTCGCAAACTAACCATCCAGCTCAGAGAACAAAACCACATCAAAAATCATACACCTGAGCCACAAATCTTATCTATAATACCTAAGTATAATATTTTTCAAGTGTGGAATATCACAAATCGAACTCCTGCACTTCTGTG